CACTGGCTGATGTTTTTCCTCTCCTTTTTGCCCGTTTCAAGTTTCCACTCCGACACCAAACGCTTTCCCCTTTTCCTACCGCTGTTAACACGAGGCAGATCAAACAGACACAAAAGTATTTTCTCACAAAATAATCATTAAGCAGATCATGGAGTTTAGTTCCAGTGACAGCTGAATATTTGTTTCATTAATAAGTCATTTGCAATTAATTCCTGGAGTCATTTCTAAAAGAACATTGTGATGTTTCCATGGTTTTAAAGTGGCAAGACACGAGTCATTCTCTGACAAAATTTCTGTACAAAGTGCTCGTAGGCATCCACTGGAAAAATCCAGCCCCCAAGGAGGAGTGTTCCTGTGAGGTGGGAACATGGCACCCATCAGTGGGGAGGCACCTCCACACAATATGCAAATAACTGCAGCATTTAGGGGTTGAATTTTAGGTGCATTGGTGCTTGTGCTGCTCCATTCAAGTCATTTGTATGGAAATTATTATATTAAGGGTTTGGGTTTTTTCCATTTAAGGCTCATAAACAACCCTCCTCTATGCTGGAAAAATAACAAAATCTTCAATACAAACGGTTCAATTTATCTCTTTTCAGTCAAAGAGCTGGATGAATAAATGATTGCTATCCTGCCACCTAAAAGCAAAGATGCTCCAGCTCACAAAGGTTCCTGAGGCTCTAAAAATCACACCAGGAATTAAGGGCCATCCCTCTACTGGCTGAGCACCTTTCCCTGGAAATCCAAGAGTCTCCATCCTCAAGCCTACCAAGGTCACCTTCTGCTTGGGATGGAAGAGGCACCATTTGCCCTGGTGTTTTATTAAGAATTAAATAACAATTTACCACCTTTCACAATGTTCTTCCGAACCTTACAAACTGGCACAGTTTGGGAATAACCAACACAGGAAAGCGTCTCTAACCCTGGGCACCACTCCCACTCCAAGTCCCAAGTCCCGATACGTGGCCAGCAAAGATTATGGACATTTCTAAGCTATAGGAACAACTCCAATTGTTGCCATATCACCTTCTCAATAACCTTGCCCCAAAATTACAGGTTCCAGAGTTGCCTGTAATCATTAACTGCCTGGAGGAGAAGCACATCACCAAAGCAACAAACCTCTAATCAAGGGAGTGGGAGCAGAGCAGAAGAGCAAAATAACTCTTTAACAAGCAAGTTGCAAGAGGATTTTTTTTTGCTGTTGTTGTTTTTGGTTTTTGGGTTTTTTTTTAATCAAAATCTTATTTGGCACAAAATTAAAATGCTGGAAAAAAGTGAACACCATAAATTTCTGCCTACTAGGAAACATAATTTGCTGGAATGACACTTTTAGAGGGAAGTGCTTACAGGTTTTCATATTCAGCAGCAAGAGGAGTAATTATATTAATGAACTGACACAGCTCTGAAGTGACACAACAGAGAGCTGGTAAAAAAAATTGTCAAATGTTTAGTTTTCAATTTAAAATGAAGACAAAATATTGTTTAAAACTTAAAAATGCTCAATTTCAAGCTATTCTAATAGAGATGAATAGATAGTTAAATTGAGGTCTGGAAAGCAAAGTTCTAGACCTATTTATAAAAATCTTCAAGTGGAAAGGTTTTCAATTTGTCAGAAAAATCAGGTTAAAAATAGTCTTTTAAATGTGACAGAAATATCATAACTTATGAGCTAAAAATAAATAAAAATTAAAAAAATATAAAAAAAATTAAAATTGGATAGCAGACTCTATAAATTATCTTGTAAGAAAAAATAATCACCTATTTTGCACCTTCCATCAATACACTGTGAGTTACACAACTATTTCCACAAGAAGATAGGACTTGAATGCAATTTGCAACCTATTGGTTTGATCCAGTTTCCACTGAAGTAAATGAAAAGATTAGCATTAAATTCAGTGAAAGTTGGATTAGACTCTGTTCACATTCACAGTGGGGAAAGAAAAAAAAAAAACACTTAGTGATTATTTATGCCAGAAATTCCAGGGTAAAAAGCAAAATGGGTGCAAATGTGTTGAAGAATTTGAAGAGAAAAATGAGCACGGTTGATATAAAATATGACTCCACTAAAAATTAGAGGATTACTAATTACTCTGAATGCGCTTATAGAGAAGATATAGATGTAATTTAATGGCACAAATATACTTTGAAATCCAATTATAGCAACAGAGCAGTGATTATAGAGTTGCATGAAGAGTTAAAATAAAATATGATACCAGATAAATGGGTATATTAGAAAGGCGCTATTAGATTTTCTTGCATTTATCCACTGACTGCCACCAGGCCTCTGAGCCAGGGACAAAGAGGAGGGGAAAATATAGAGGAGAAAAATTGAGCTTTCTTGCTAAATATAGTCAAAAACCAAAAGAGATATTTCTACTAAAAAAGATAAAAATTTAGAGATAACAGTTACCAATACATGATTTGTACAACAAATCAAAATACTGAGTCTTATTCACAGTCCTGCCGTTCCAGATTCTCAACTTTTGTAAGCACTAAATGGGAAAAGAAGGAAAACTTGAAAAGGATTTACTGCAGAAAGTTGAAAGATCTCAGAGAAAACACAATATACCAATAAAAGGCCAATTATTGCACCCATCAATATCCAGCAGTGGGCTCTCAGGGAAAAGATATGCAGATTCCATTAGGAAAAAATACAGCCATGTCTGTCCTCTGGCATAACAACATTACTTATAAATGGGAAAAGGGACCCTCACTTTATTTGTAGGTTTAAATAATAATTTGGTGATACTTCACCCATTATGTCAAGAAATGAACATTTAGAGGAACCAAATAAATGTCCCTTTTGGATTTAAACCTAAAATAAGTCACTCCTTGCTCTGCTTTCTCTTGTCCTTGAAATTCAGATTGACTTAAAACATATATATTTACAGTAGACACCAGGTTTGCCAACTTTTGAAACCCAGGGGAAGTATTCACCAGTTACCAGAAACTTGGTTAAATCTCTCCCAACCTTACCTGGTTTTAATATTCAAACTTAAACCTGGCACAGCTTGCAAGAGGTTTTTTTGAGAATTCCTCTCTGGTGAGTTGGAAAATGCTTCTTTGGGAGGTTCCCCATTAATAAACACCTGTATTTAGCCCTATTTAGCAGTTTGTCCCTATTTTCCAATCACAGGCAGAGGGCTGGTAAAGGTTTCAATTTACAAGGTCACAGAGACTCCTCCCCAGGTACAAGCTGGGTTATTTGCATAATAAAAAGGTGGGGGGAGGGGGGGGAGGGAGAATGAAAATAACCCCTAAAAATCATCTTTTATTCTGCTTTTGCTGTAGTACCACAAAGACAAACAGAAACATTCACATGCTCAGCTCTGCCTTGGCCAAGCAAATCTCATAAATGTCTGAATTTCCCATTATGGCCATGATTTCTAGAGGGAGATGAAATCTTTACCTCTCTCTAAATTGATGGGAGTCTCCCTCCTCCCTTCAAATGCCAGAATGTGGAAGTAGAAGACTCTCCCTCTGAAGGCTGTATTTTATAATACTCTGATGAGATGCCTTTTGATTTAGGGTTGGCATGAAGGGAGAAAAAAACCCCGTTGTAGTCTGCCAGCTCATCTAACCCAACTTTAATCACTGACTGTGGAGACAGCTCTATCTGAGCCAGTCATCTAAAATCCCTTTAAAGTCAATGGGGAGAAATAGATGTTTTTAGGATGCAATTAATTGATTGGAAGGAAGAGGGATCTATCACATATGGAAAAGAATTATGGCCCAGAGGGTTCTGCTTTTCCTCATTTACTGCAGAGGAGTTCACGCATCTGCATTTTCACAGTCATCCAGGACAGGTGAGAAGAATGTCCCCCAGTCACTACTAACAAATATCTCTTGTTTTGGTTTTTTTTTTTTTAATCTGTTTTCCTGTTTCTTTTCCCTTCTGTTCCTACACTGAGTCTCTCCTGGGACATCAGTTCAATTTTTGCATTACAAGCCCATTTACCCCTCAAGGAAATGGCTTCATCCATCTGATGGTAATGAAAACTTTTGGATCTTACATGAGTGCTCACCTGGGCCAGAAGAACAGATCCATCAGGTTTAAAAACCACATTAATGGATAGTTACATGTCAATTGTCACAAAAATATTCAGAATAAGACAGATAACAAAACAACTTCCTACGATTGTACCGCCCTCCCAAGGACCTATGGGCCCTTCAGCTCCCAGGGCTCTACATCGTGTCCCAAATGTCCCAGAAAATGATGATTACACACAGTCTGAGGAGCTGGGGTGATGATTTTCATGGAAACAAAGAAAAATATTCCCCCTCCAGAAGATGTGGCATGTCACGTCCCCTTGAACACACAGCAACCGTAAGGGGGAAGAAAACTGATAACTATAGATTTGCCTTCATCAGTGAGATCCAAAGAAGTCAATTTGAAATAAATTTGGCCAGACTTGAACACTGCAGAGCCCCCCCCCCAAAAAAAAACAACCTTTCTTTTCCCTGCTCTGCCACCCAAGGCACAGCCCTGTGCAGTTTTGTTCTGCTCTCACAAGCGGGTGACCCTATTTCCTCTCGCCCACCAAAGAGCCACCATTGTGCTGGAGGACTTTGAGGAATCTGCTGCTCACCCTGACATAAGGGAGTAGGTTTTGTTTCATGTCTGCCTTGTGCTGGGACATTCATCTTCAAAGGGCCCCGCACGCAACCGGGGAGCCTCTGAAGCGGATCAGGGGCAATTCAAAGAGCTGCGCACCGAGCAGGAGGGGGCTCCCCTTCAAAGCTGCAGCCTTGAATCTGCCACAGAAGAGCAGATTCAAACCCAGAGAGGTCACTTCATCTACCTGTAGTGGGATCTCATATTCAGAAGACTCCAGCTAAAAATAAGGGGTATTTAGGCAGTGTGATGAGCGAAACCCTCGAGCGATGCTCTTCCTCTCTCTCCCTCGCACACAGACACGGGCAGAGCAATGGCTCCTTTAGAAAAGAAAAAAAAACCAAACCCAAACTGTAGAAGACATAATGGCCCCCAGAAAACTTACTCACAGATCAGCTCCATCTGTAGCATCCTCCTGGTCCAAGCACAGAAGTTTCCAACGAGCTAGAGCAGCGCAGACCTCTGTCCAAACTGCCTGGAAGGAGGAAACCACCGTCAGCAGTTGCTCAACACATGATAGAGTGGTAAAAACACTGATTTCTTTCAATTACCCAGGTTAATGCAATCTAGAGGAAATACTTTGTTTGGCTCAGAAATTCCCTGTTCTCTTGTCAGACCTGGGAGGCCTTGGACAACAAAAGCATTCTGCTTTTGGGCACTGTCTAAACACAGAGTAATACAGTGCTGCTTGCCCCAGAATTTATCCTTTACGCAGGAAATACAGAAAGGTACAGAGGTAAATACTCTTCTCTTCAATTTATATGTGGAGATATGAGGCAAGGGGAGATGCAGGTTTGTGTACAAGCAGATCTACAGATGTCTAATATCTTTGATGAGATAAAGAAAATCAGAAAAGGATCTTTAAGAGAAGCAGAGGCATAATAATCTTGCAGATTATCTGCAGAGCTTTCGTATCAGGCACCTGATGTTTTTAAAAATAATTCAGACTAAATCCTTGCAACACCTGATTTTTTGTAAGATGTATCAGCTCTGCATCTGCAAGGGAGTCTCATTTTGATACTGGGAGAGGGCAGTTGCATTCCTGGGACTTGATCCCTTTTCCCTGGGTCAGCAGAGTTTCTCCCTGCTCCCACTGCCATCACACCTCCGATTTGGCCACTTCCCTCCTCCTTCAAACGTCCACTGCCACAGATACAAATCTCTCTACACAGTTTCTACCTCCTGTATCAGTTCTTCAGTCTCAACTGTCTTCAAGGACTTTAGTTGTTGGGTTTTTTTAAATACTAGATTAAAATGCACAAGATCCTGCATTGCTTTCTCATTTATAACATTATATAAATAACATTATTATAACATATCTATTATAACATATATACATATAACATTTATATTATGTTATGTATTATCCTCTCATTTATATTATATTTTTATTAAAAGCTGTAAAGCCTTTGGGCCGGTCTGTGCCTGAGTGGCAGTTCACAGGTACAGTTGCATTACTCCCCATATCATTATTATTTTGGTTTTTTTACTAGAAGTACCCGGGTTTGTTTTTCTTTTAACCTCAGTTTAAACATCCCCTCCATTGCCATGCTCATTTTGCTGCAGCGCTGACTGAGGTGTTTCAGGTTCATGGTGCTCCCTCCAAATTTGCTTTATAACAGCAGGCCAAGATGGATCAAAACTTTATGTCTGATTCCACTTCTTATGTGACATTTGTGGCTTTCCCCCATTTTAATATTTAGCAAATATTTTATTCCTTTAAAGCACCTGATCAAATATTCTGGCATGGGGGAGATAACGCTAAAATTTAATTTAATTGTACAATTCTTCTTGTGCTGCATAAACACAGGTACAGTCTCATTTGGACAAGGCATCTCCCAGGAAGAGCCAAGCATTTTGAGACACATCCATACAGGGCAGCTGGAATACACACTGTGCTGTACAGCCTGCTCTCAGATGGTTTCAAACCCTGTTTTTGCACTGTGGTTCCTTTTGTCCACATTTCATTCTCCCTTCTGCTGCCCTGGCAGTGACCTCACATGGAGCAAGAGGCTGCAAGGCCCTGTAGCTCTTCACAGAAAGAGCAATTGGTTTGTTCCCCAAATGTTTCCCAGGTTGTAAAACAGCATAAAAGTACAAATGAAGAGCCTCATGATATTTTTCTTCCCGCTGTGTGCAATCAAGCCAGAAAGTATCCCTGACTCCCATAGAACCTGCAAATTACCTCGGCACACCTGACCCACCAGCAGCAACACAACATTAGGACTATTTTCTCCTACTGATTCTTCTCCTGCTGAGCTCCTCCACGGGTCTAGGATGCTCCCTGCTTCCACAGTGCCTGGTTTGAAACAAAAAAAAAAACACCCCAAAACGTGAGTGAAATGTTAAACCTTTGCCAGCAAAGTATGGGAATTATTTCCAAAGAACTTCACATCACTTTACATATTGCACAATTGACCCCGGAATATCTGCAAAGTCTGACACCGAAATAGATTCAGCACGGCCAAGAAATAATCACAGAGAGCATTTTGGATTCAGCCAAGGATGAAGTCAGGCACTCTATTTTCCACACAGCAAGCTGAGGCCACTGTTCACCACGTTCAACTGCATCAAATGCACAGAGCCTTACTGGGAAAGGATTAAAAACTACAAAGGTAAAACAAATAGCGTCGCTGCAGCGTCCAGTAGGATGAAAGAACTCCCTGACATGGCAGGTATGATTTCAGAAGTGCTAAAAAAAAAAAAAAAAAGAAGAAGGGAAGGAGGAATGGAAGGAGGGGTTTCATGGACCTTGACCAGGCTCACTGCGACAGTGACGTAAAGCCAGGGCACTGCAGCACACACAGTTTGGAATTCAGCCCCCACATCCCCCGTGTCACTGCCAGCACTCCCATCTGAACTGCCTATTTCTGTATTTCCTCTTTGCCTCCAGCCAGGGAATTCCTTTATTTCACCAATGCAAAGCTTTAGATAATGTGTGTCTTCCAGTTGTGTCTCTCCTGCCCCAGATCACTGCAAACTATTTACTTCGCTCCACTTCTATCCACATCTTCATTCCCAGGATCTGCTCCATTCAGCTCCATGTTCCTTAAAAGTTTGATATCGAGTTCTTCACGTGCCTAATTTGGGCTTAATTCCAGGCTGGGGTAAATCGTTACAACTCAGATGGAGTCAATAGGAGCACAGTGACTTACATCAGCTTTGTGTCAGTAAATACTGACAGGATTGATCTCAAACTTTTTCAGAACAAAAGATTTTCGAAGATGGATTAAACAACATAAATGCTGAGCTGTTTTGCCAGACTGCAAATGGCATAACACAAGCTTTGTGTGACATCTCTGAATTATCCCTTCGTGGTAATGTTGACATTACATGGTATTGACTCATGGAAGAAGCTTAAATACCCTTTTAAGTTTTCAAGACTCTTTGACAAAGCACTATTTCATTAACAAAATGTTAATGGAATCCAGGAAGCTTGACTCCACAGTACAGCCTGCTGCTTCCAAGAAGCTCTGACCGAGGGATGAGACTGCACAGAGCAATGTAATTCTTATTTTTAGGACAACAGAAAAGGAAGCAGGGCACTCATTGGTTGAGGGAGGAGGACCCAAGGGTACTTCCACAGTGCTCCACTGAAGGGCTACCACACCTTCTGCTGGAGAAGGTCAAAATAGCACAAATTAGCAAATACATCATGCAGGGTAAACTGGGAGAGACAGCAGTGTTGGTGTTTGCTTGGAGATAAGGCTTCTTGCTTGTGAAAAGGAGAAAGACCTGGAAAGCATTCCAGAGGGAATACCCGATGTGGGGTCAGGTTTGGGAAAGGGTAATTATGTACCTCCAGCAAAAACGATTGGTTCTAAGTACCCTGCTAATCAAAGGATCATTTAAGTCAGAAAAGACCTCTAAGATCATTGAGTCCAACTGTTAATGACACAAATGGTTCTCAGATAAAGCACAGAGTTTATAATTGATGGGTTTACTGCTAGGAACAGACCTTGGCTTTCAGGTTCTTGATCTGACCCAGAGAAGGGACTTGATGGAGAGAAAGGGGCAGCACAGGTGGCCCAGGTGTCACCACCAGGACGACGGGGGGAAACCCCTCTGTGGGGAGTCAGCAGCACACAAGAGATGGGTTTACACCCCAGAACCTTTCCCAGGGGAAGAGCAGAGAGCAGGTTCCCCTCCCTCCTCCAGATTGTTTGTGAACAACCACCCTCAAATCTTTTCCCCAGTAACTCATAAATATTTCTGGCACTCGCTGCTCAGGACTGTGACATGGCCCGGCACCTTTCCAGCTCTGAACTCCAGAGAGACACCACTTGTAAGTCAAATGAAAGGTGACAGACCTTCTCAAGAGTGAAGTTTACTCACACACTGAACAGTCACATTTTCAAACTGAAGTTTTTCTGCTGATTTCTAGATCCACAGTTGCTCTATGTAACGATGAAAGTCATTATTAGCCAAAGAGATTGGAAGGGAGGGGCAGGGAAATACTAAACCTCTGTCCATTTGCCTGCTTTCTGCATTTGACAGCATTTTGTGTGCCAACAACTTCCACATTTCCTCTGTAGTTCATTTCATCTGTTCTGTGGATTCAAATAAAGCAACAGGTGGAAGAAAATGATGTAAAAAAATGAAAAATGAAAAAATTCAGCACTTAAATGCAATGCTTGACTGAGGTGCTCAAAGGCCACTTTGCTGCCTGAAACCACTTCTTTTCTTTTTTAAATTGTTTACATTTTGAGCTGATAAAATTCACAACAGTAAAAATAACTTTGCCTGACTTCCCAGTAGAAGACATGATGAGAAGATGTCTGGAAGGGGGGAAGGTCTCCAACATACATTTTTATGCTTCCATGAAATATAAATAAATAAACAAGAGAGCTACATACACAAATAACAGCCTCAATCAAACCTGGCAGAGCTCTGAAACACATCTGCACTCGGGCACTGGTAACTGGATTAAAGGGGGGAGTGACCCAGGTGTTAATGAGCCAGGAGTGAGGGAGCCCCAAGGGACTGCCCTCCACGCCTGCCATCCCCTCCAGCACTGATGGGATCAGGAATAAGGACTGAAAAGGGAGATGGAGATCCTCTGACATGTCTGAGTGATGGACAAAAGGCTTGTTCCCTGGCTGAAAACAGGCATTTTGGTGCAACAGCAAAACTTCACACACATCTACCCAACTCTTACATAACCAACAAGTGATGCTGGTGTCACTACTGTCACCAGGTTAATTCTCTTCTTAACAGCCCTTTGCCCTCTTGGGTTTGTTTGCTTTCAGTCAAGCCAAATTCCCTGTGCCTTGAGAGGTGAACAACAACCACAGTTTTAATTGCAGTCTGATCCCCCAAAGAGAAGACAAACACCCCTGTAGAAAGGGATGAAAGATTTTGTGCCAGCAGATGATTCATCTTTCCAAATACCTGGCTGCTCTCAAAAGGAGAGGAGGAAAGCTGTGCTGCCTCAAGGGTCTTGGCTGCACTGCACCTCTGCCAAGGAGCTGCAAATCCTCTGCTCAGGGGATTTGCTCCAGCACAAGGCAATCCCACCTCTCTGCTTCCCACCGAAACACAAGAGGAAAGTTCCTGGAGCACACACTTGACAGCAAACCAGCCCCTTGTCTGTCCTCCAGAATCCTTCTGCTGAGAGAGTTTCCTCAAAAACTTGGTGTAGCTAATTGAAAATCAAAGATTGAGGCTCTCCAAGGATAACCAGATGAAGTCCTGAAGGTTTGCTGGGGTAATAATGACCATACCAGAGCTTAACTTCCACACAGGATGGGTGCAGCCTATGAGCAGAGGATCCAGGTGAGATTTCAGGGCTCCATCTTCCTAAGGGTGTGGAAATTCAATAACCTAATAAAAGAGAAAGGGAGAACACCTGGATCATTCCTCAATAACCCATTCCTGGAAAATACTGTAGGCTTAAGTATAAAACAATTTGAAGGACTTACAGAAAAATCCAAATTCAAGGGAACTCTGAGGAGAAAGACATTCTGATCTTGACTGCAAAGTGCAGCCCTCACTCAAGGACACTGAACTTTGTCATCTCCCTGGGGTCACGAATTCTCCACATGAATTAACAGACACCCATTGAGCTGCAGGACCAAGCAGGATTTTTCTCCTGGCTGAAGATCTGCCCCACGACATCCACATCCCACTGCCGGGAAAGCATCTCCCACCCTCCAGATAGCGCTGGTCAGAGCCCTCTGTGAATAACCACTTTATAATGTGAGACACTTACTATGCACTGGGTCACTGGTAGCAGGGTTGAGAAAGGGACATTCACATCTAAAATCACAAATCTCCATAGTCAAGGCTGAAAAAATGAGCTCTGTCTCAAAGGCTCTTACAGACCCAGGAGGAGGAACACGCTCAAAGAACAGATTGCTGCAGTTTGTTAGCAAAGGTTAGGGAAAGCTGGAAACCTTAAGGTCTTGCAAATCAATCTGTGCATTGCACAGCTTCTCCCCTTCCACAGCTGAGACAAACGTGGATTGTGTTTGCCGTGCGTTCAGAACAACCTGCAATCAAAATCTCTCGCTCTCACCGGAACAAGGCGACAACACTCTGGAGACACAGAGACAACTGGAAGGCAGAAGTTCTGCAGAAGGAGCATTTTGCTTCTAAAACTCCACTTCATCCCCCTCGTGATCACACAGATTTCTGTCGAGTCTTTACACTTGTACCCGTTCTTTGTCTTCAGCTGCCACATTGAACCACAAGCGCTGCGACTGTAAATTAAAAAAAAACACACATCAAAAAAGGCCCAAACAAAATCAACAACATTTGCAACTGCATTTACATAAAACCCACTGGACATAACTGGCACTGCACAGTAGGGTTTTTCTTTCCCATTCCTAGGAAGGAGTTGAGTTGAGCTGAGCTTAGCTGAGCTGGGCCATTGCCCCTTCCTGCCCTTCAGGTGCCTCTCCCCAGCTGTTCCTCAAGGAGGACATTCCTTATTCCAAAAGAAAAACACCTGTGTAGTACCAGACATTGCTGATTTTCTTGAGGTAAGAGGGTATTTACTGTCTCTGTGGGACAATTAGAGGAATCAGCCCTTTTTTTTCATCTCTGGGTGGGTCTTTAAATCAAAGATTAAAGAACCGAGAAAAGATACACAAAAACTGATAATCCCAACCCAGAGACCTTCCAATCATAAATACTTGTCATTCTAAGCATAATATGCAATCTTCAATACACTGTTGTGTTTCAGGCACATTTAGGTACCCTACAGAAATGACTTTAGGCTGCTGTTATTCCTAAAGAACTTCAGATGAGTTTGGATCCTTCATCATTCATCATGTCAGCCCCTCTACGGATAGTTACCCACACTTTGTCTGCTCGGGTTTATCTAATAGCTAGCCCTGGGTTTTATTAATTTTCACTGGTTTGCAGAAATTACAGAGTTCCTACTCTTTTTTTAGAACTTATATCTTAACTCATATCCATTTTCCATGAAAACCAAGCAGTGCTTCAAAGGCACGTTACCTCTTCTGGGGCTCCTACTCCCTTAAGAAGGGATCCCAAATCTTGCCTTGTTGTGGTTTGGATTTCTCTGATGTTTGTTTGCTGGGATTTAAACTTAAGGAGAAGCGGTTTTTTTGGTGGTGTTGATAAATAGATTCCCAAGGGTAAACAACCCATTTTTGGGGGGGGGGGAGGGGAGGTTGGTGTCTTTCTCTTCTTGGATGTTCAGCAGCCTGAGTTGACTTAAAACATTTTACTCTTCAAACAGTTTTATATCTGTGGGACTAGTGAACACTTCTATGTAAGAGATAGAGGAAACCTGAATTTCACTTGACCTGAGAAGCTGTGGCTGCCCCATCTCTGCAAGTGTCCAAGGCCAGGCTGGACAGGGCTTGGAGCAACCTGGTCTAGTGGAAGTTGTCCCTGCCCATGGCAAGGGGTGGAATGGGATGGTCTTTCAGGTCCCTTCTAACCCAAACCATTCTATTCTGATTTTATGATGACTGAGGAAATAAATTCCCTTGTGTAGTATTGGTATATATGTGAAGGTATACAGAATATCCACTTATCCAGTAGGCAGAAATCACATTTTAAATATACATTTATGTGTTAAACCACTGTGATTTTAGTTTTTGTACTTTCAGTGAAAATCCCCACAGATCATTGTCAAAGCCACAATTGTTAATTTAACAGATCTGCTGCAAAGAAAGAAAAGGAGAAGCAGAACATATACTTAGTGTGTGTGTTTATATATATATATACACACAAAATATTATATATATTTCCTCTAGAATGTTACTATCTGTATTTCATAGAGGACTTCTCTCCTCCTCGATGACTTTTTGCTCTGTAAAAGCTGTGTGAGAGGCACAGTGGAGGTGAGAGCAAGCCCTGGTGCAGGGCAGAAAGGCTGCCCTGGCACCCCTGGCCATGGGGCACAGCACCAGTCCCACGAGCCAATGGTGCCAGGAAACAGCAGCACCTGCTCAGGATTTGGACCCCACTGGGGTGTCCTGGGGTCTGTGACTCCCCAAACCCTCCCTGACCCAGGGACACCCCTTGGCCTACCTTGGGTATCCCTGGAGCTGGAGCTCCTCTCCCCCCAGCAGCTTCACAGGTACGGAGAGTCCCGGAGGTGGAGGTGGTTCCCATCTTCAGACTCTTCCCTTTGGAGCACTTCAGCCACCTGTTCAGCACAGCAAAATATCCAATCCATTTAATGAGGCTTCTGGTAAAATCCTTCCTTTGAAGTCCCTCAGACCGTGACAGCAATTAACTCCAGCCCCATCTTCGCTGCTGTTGTTTTACCTCATCTCAGCCGAGATCAACAACATCACTGATGGTGCAAATTATTTCCCTGCATAAGCAGTGAGGGAATGTCTCACATCCAGCAGTTACTGTCAGCTGGCAAAGTGACCTGACTGCAATTACAGCCGCCATGTGGGGTGTCTTCAGTGTCCCTGGGCTCCTGCAGGATTTTTAGTAATTTCTGTAGATTTAAGACTGCAAGGAAATTCATTGCGTTTACGACTGGCAGCACTTAGAGATGAACCTACTGTAGGTATAGGAGAGGTGGGTAAGGATGGCATCACAGCAGAACAAAACACACAGATGGGGTCAGGAACTGTGGCTCCTCTTCACAAAACTGTCCCCAAGCTCACCCTATTCAGCATAACATGTTCATGTGGATACTCAGAAACTTTTCCCCAAGTGCACACGACGGGGATTATTTTCATTGCAAATTGTTTGTAACAATGCACATTAAAAAGCCACTATGACATCAAGTGGACTATAAATAATCTCAGTTTAAAAGGCAGAAGGGTCTAACTGAAATATTAATTTCTCCACATTAGAAATGAGAGAAATAAGAAATGCGGGAGATCACAAGCAGTAGACACACAACTGGAGGTAGATATTTAAAATTGTCCTTGGAAGAAACTTTTTCAAGGTTTTCTATTTGTTTTATTTCCATTTCTGGGATGGGTTTTTTTTTTTGTTGTTGGTCTTTTTATTATTATTATTTGCTTTTTTTTATTAGTATTTGCTTTGGGTTTTGTTTTTAAAGCGAGCGAGAATAAGGATAAAAGGAAACTAATTCCCCACTAAAGGGCCTCCTGCGGCCGGAGCGGGATGACCTGCTGGCTCCATAACCTCTGCCAGGAGAGGGGTGTCAGCACACACAGCCCCTCCAACCAGCTCCAGACAACAATGGCAACACAGGGAAAACAAAACAGGATCCCAATCCTTCCCCTGGTCTGTCTGAGGACACCACCTACACCTTAAATCAGGTGGCGTTTCCCAAGGCCTGAGGGCAGAACACACCACGGTCACAGCCTGGAATTCCTGCTCTGTGAGGAATTCCAATATTTTCCCCAGTTCAGAAGGCTAAAGATTCTTATAAGATCTGAAAGACACTTAAAAAAAGATTTCAGTGAAACTGAATTTGTGCAAACATTTTCTGAGAATGTTATATTTTAATAGTAGGCAGTGGCAGGCTGAAAAGGGTAAAATTGCCCTATGATAAAAAAAAAAATTATAAGCCAAAGCATATGGGAAACATGAAAAGGATGAATGAATGAATTAATTAAAATGAATCCTGTACAAATTAAACCATTTCAGCATCACCAAAATGAAACATTTCAAGGTTATACCAACAGAGGTGAAAGTCAGGTGATGTGTCAGAACACGTTTTCGCTCAGAAATTATTATAATCAAGAAAATTCCAGTTCCAAATTTCATTTTTGTTCTGACTGGGTTTTGGATTCCGAGCTGTTTGCACGTGTTTTGACCCCCCTGCACCCAAGAAAATTGATACCATCCCGACCTCTCCTGCAAGGGTGGTGCAGGTAAATGCAAGAACGTTACTGATTCTTCCTGAAGGAAAGCCTAAAACCTGTGTTTTCTATAAAATTGGTGGCTTTGGCTTATTTCTCAGCAAAAAAAAAAAAAAATAACGCCTTAAGGAGAGGTAAAGCAAAGCTATTGTTACCAAGACTTTCTTACAGTAAGAACCCATCCTACAGTGCATTTCCTGGTACGCTCTGAAATACCATAAATCATTCTGACAACGTGATACTTGTCAAAATAAAGGCAGAAAATACGTCTTGGAATAAAATATCCTCAATCATATTTATTTGTTTGCTCACTCGTGCCATTTGGCTCCTCTCAGTGGGTTTCCCAACCGTTAGGGTGAATTAGTGAGATTCTGCTGGAAAAAAAAAAACCCAGCCCCATGTGCATATTCACGGGCTCACACACACAGAATATCTGCCCATGGCACCGAACACTCAGGCAAGAGAACAGAAAATTAGAAAGCTTGCAAAGGACACTTCAGTTTTCCTGATATTTTTTTTTTCTCCCCCCTTTTCCAGCTTTTTTTTTTTTTTTTTCCCCCATCCCCCTCACCAAATATTTCCCTAATGCTCGATGGTGGTTTGGTTTAAGGGAGTCCTGCCTGGAAAGCTCCTTCAGCTGCTCAGCCCAACAGCATAAATTTGATCTCGTAATTAGTATTCAGCTCAGCATCTTGGATAGAAACCAATGTTACAGCCAAGAGGTGGTTTAAATCACATAAATCATAGATCAATGACAGAACTCTAAGCACTGGATAGATTACAAAAGTAAGCTTTAGTTAAAAATAGATTAACCATTTCCCTGCAGGAATTCCTTCAAAAAAGCCCTGAATATAAAACAAATAAAATTAAATCTGATAATTTTTTTTCCTAATGTATGCATATACTAGATGAATTGTTCTTTCCCTTGACAGTTACACACTGATTAAAGAAATGTGTTAACATGCTATTTCAATGGAAAATATTGTAAATTGTGGGGACTTTAATTTTTTTAATGAGCCTCTAATAGCCAAAAAGCAATGTTGTGTACAGATAGGTTTATAGCACATCACAGCAGCTAACAGATACTTCTGCAGTTGCTGTTTTTGTAAAAAGGGCAAAAATCATTCCCCAAGCCAAGAAAAATGTTTTTGAGAAGTGTTTTTAAAGTATTTTGGGTTTTAAATTTTAGCTAATGAAGCTCCCAGTCGCATGAAGCATCACAAGCCATCAGTTATCCTGATTTAGGCACCCGTGGGGGTAATCAGCATCTTGAAGGATTGAGCCCCAAGATCCCCAAATCGTTAAAAGTTCAGGGGAAGAGGAAATATGGGGTTGAATCTCTTCCCCCTGACTAAAGGATGAAGGAGGGTTTGGCTCCTGCAAGGAAATTCTCTGTTGGTGTAGACCAGTTAACCAAACTGGGGTGCACCAGAGGACACAGAGTGTGTCAGCCAGGAATCTCCTCTGCAGCTTGAGAATCTAAATTAAAAATATAAATTTAAAGGATGCTCTCGCTCCTGTACATTGCGCTGTGATTGCCTCCCATGAGGTCACACATCATTCAAAAGAAGAAAAAAAGGAAGAAGAAAAAGAAAAAAAAAAAAACAAACCTAACTTTTCAGCGTCTGAAGGCCAATTTGCATGTCTGTTTTCTGAGCTGCAGAGCTGAAAGCCAGAAATGCCTGAGCAGCACCTCAACCTCTCCTCAGGCCGGGGAAGGGCAGATTCCAAGCCATCAGCAGCTGGAATAACGGGCTCGGATTCCTCCCGGGGACACACAGGGGCTGAGGCAGCTCCAGCCACAGCAAAGAGAGGAGAAACAGCCTGAGCATCGGGCACAAATCCTGCCACCTCCTCCTACCACCCTTTTACAACCTTCAAATCCACCTTCGAATTAGTGAGTAAAAAAAATCAAAGTGAGAGAAATCCCATATTGCCTATCCCTGGACTAACAAATTATGATCAACTGCAGACCTGAAAATAACAGTGATTCACCCCAATAAAAAGTTGCACAATTCTTGAACTGGTAAATAACTGTTATAGCCACAATACAACGAATTCAAACTTCCTGAACACCGACATCTGCTTGTATATTTAACTTTCTACAGATGACAAAAACATGAATATAATTGCTGTTGCCATATCTAGAATTTAAAAAAAAAAAAAGAAAAAGAATGCCGTTCCTAGAGATGTTCCCATTTGTTTTCAAACACTCCAGCTCCATCAAAAAGAACATCTTTAAACTTTTAGTGCTTAATGGAAACGACTACTTTCGATTTCCAAGGATTTTTTTTTCCCCCGTCAGAAGAAATAAAACAGCGAGCTGCTCGATGGCTATTTGAGCAACAACACTGAGGTTTCCAAAGTGCCTCCCTGTGTGATAGAAGACTGCAATATATGCAATCAAGAGATAGATTCAAACAATAATAACTAGCAGAGGCTCCAGGCGTTGCAAAACGTGTCATTTACTTCAGACCCGTTCCTTGAAACATCAGCCCTGCAAGTAGTTCAGTGGAAAATAGATGGGACTGCTCCTGGAAGTACAGGCTGTTCGTGCAGGGAAGTTTTCAAAGGCTCTGCATTTTCTAAAGTACTGAAAAATGCATATCAAGTTTAGTAAAACTAAAGAAGAAGAAGAAAAAAAAAAGGGAGGGGGGAAGGGAAAAAAGGATCTCTTGTAAAACACCAAATTGTCAGAGAGATGTCAGGGTTAATTTTTAAAGGCATATTTCCCTCCAGCAACAATTCTCTTTAATTATTTCAATGTGAAACACATTATCAGACATGTTCCTTCCCTGTTCTCAGCTCCCTGACACAAGATAGGTACAAGATGTTAAATCTCTGCCGATGCTCGCACACGTTGGCTGGGCAGCTCCTGCTGCACCTACAGCCTCCAGCTTCCTCTACCCAACTTTTGGGGCCACCTGCCCACAGGCACAGCACCAAAAAGCAGGGCAGGAGGTGGTTGAGGAACAGCCCCAGGACACATACAGGGGCACCAAGAGCCGCACGGAGCACACACCGGTTTTAAAGTTATAAACACAACACATCTGACAGCTTTCCTGCATGTTTGAGTGGAAATTCACCCAGATTTGGGTGGGGGTTTTTCTACTTAGAGGTCCAACAGTCATGTAGAATAGATTGTACAGAACAGGCAAAGTCCAGTGAGGAAGCTCCTGGAGTGCCACAGCACAATGAGCTGCTGCAGGACACGGCCACGTCACACACCTCTTCAGGAATTTATCAGAAACACTTTATGTTCCTCCCAAGTGGTAAAGGACAGTGTCCAGAGACCCAAAGTAAAATATCAGCACAAAATCACGAGTGACAGCAGTTTCACATTTAGATCTAGAGAAGAAACCTTGATCTGATGCATCGGGTCGCTGTCGCAAAGCACCAGGTTTGGTCGAGTGTTTCGGCTGCTGAAGGAGCTTTGTGTTTTCCCCCATAATTCCCAACTTGACATACGTGTATTCAGGAGTCACATCAATCAAATCACCCCTTGTTTTGGTGCAAGGAAAGCCTAATCCTTTCCTAGGACAGGAATAGGCTCCAGACCAGCTCTGCCAGATCGGCTGTACCCTAATGGACTTTTATACCACCCCCAGTAAAACTCACCAGACAGCCAGTCGCGAGATTAAAAGCTTTTTAAGTTGCTATCTTGGGAAATTTCTTTCAAGGAAATTACTACAAAGCCTTGTTTTAGTGTGTTCCCCTACTGTGAGTCCTACTGTGTTTTTTTAATAAGGAAAACTATCCATCCATGGAGGTGTATCCTGTTCTCCATGCTTGAGTGTCTAACAGCAGGCACATACAGTAGACACTCTGATGTTTTGCCTCTTTAATTTTCACTCCATAATGTTGGTGCCTGGTTTTCCTGACTGCACCTTTCAGAGCAGTTTAATGATGGGCGTGCACAGAATTTCGAGAGGGGATTTTTCAGTGATAATATTCAGACGTTCGGGACAAGTTTAATACATAAAGATATTCAGAATTCTTTCTTTTAACCATAAAATAAAACCCTGCGACGCTTTTATCACAGAATGGAAAGTGAGATAATATTACCAAGAGAAAAAAAAAAACCTACAAATACTTCAAGGCTAAAACAGGAAGGGGTATAGAGATGCTTCATTTAGTCTTTAAAGGATGCTTCGTATATAGAGATGCTTCCTGCAGATATAGAGATGCTTCATATAGATATGGAGATGTTTCATGCAGATATGGAGATGTTTCATACAGATATAAACATGCTTCATTTTGGCCTTTAAGAAGACAACCTTATGCTAAATATGAAAGCATCGCAGATCTATCAGTGCTTTCAAGCAAATAGGACACAGCCAGAGGTTTCCACACCCAAACTCCCACCCAAATGAGAACAGCTCATGCCACCGAATTTATTAGCCCAAGGATTTTGCCAGAGATTTTGATACATATTTTTAAATCAAGCCAAGCAGCTCCCTGATAAAAGGTTACTTTACCACTCAGATATCAGGCTTGAAATGTGGTTTTTTTCCCAATAACAGGCCAGGTAGTGGATTATAAACGAGCCCTGCTCCATTGACTGCAGCCAGGGTATGAAAATTGATTCAATGGAGCACCATCAGCCCTCGCCAGCTGAGTATCTGTCCCTCTAATCACAACTAAAAAGATTTTCCTAGTCAATTAAAGGCTCCAAGCCTTTACTCACTCACACAAAATCCCTGCTAACAATGCATTCATTTAAATCTTAACAAACTGAGCACAAGCCCTGCCTGGTGCCACAGTTGGTGCTGGAGATTGAAATCCCCGCTCCCGCCATCCGGAGGCACCAGCCCTTCCACACTGTCTCACGTGGCCCAGGATAATCCCCGAGTCCCCTCCGATCCTGACACGCTTCTGGAGGATCTGACAAAAAAATTAGCACATTCATTATTTGCTGCTAACAGGAGTACGAGCCCCACGAAGAAAACATGTACCTGTGCTGACAGAGTGGGAGTGCTTTAATTTCCAAATTACATACATAAATAAATCAAACCGTAGCACCTGAGAAATGAAAGATTATGAAAATAGTAATATCCTGCAAAAATCTTGAAAGGCATCATAATTCCTCCAACAATTATCTTCTGTCATATTTGCGAGTAGCCCGTGTAGTTCAAGAAGAGAAAATACAAATGTGCTCCTTTAAAATTCATGAAACCACTCATTCTGTCATAAAAGCAGGCATCTTTCATGGCTACTTATTTCACACAGTCTCATAACTAATACTGACAGATACTTGGAATGCAAAAAAAAAAAAAAAATCCACAAAAAAAAAAAAAAGAGCACCGGACAAAGAACACGAGCTGCTCAATTCTTACATTTTAATGCTCAGAATGGAAAATAAAATCCTATATTACATAGCACTGCCGAATTTCTGCTGTAATTAAATCAAAATTTGTAGATAAAAATGAGATTGTACAAAGACTGGTGGTATAGTGCTCCCAGGATTGGGCTGTGCTGCATCCATGACAACAGGATGGAAGGTTGCTTTTAATACTATTATCTTACATACCCACAGCTGAATGCTAATGCAGCTATACTGAGGAAATCAAGTTTCAGATCTGTAGCCACTGAACTTACAGCCACTAGGCAGGGAGTTTAAAAGCCAGGCTAGCACACAAAGACTAATATTATAGCTCTGTCAACTCCCCAAAGGTCAGCTATCTCAAAAGGCATACACAAATATTAATTGTCAGGTAGTTCTGTACCAGAGACCAGAACTGAGGCAGAAATCAGGTTTGGTGGCCATAATTTTCTTCCAATTTTATTTATAAAATGGAGGTGAGGAAGGAAGCAGAGATTAACTCAGTTCATGTTCTGTGCACTGACAGAGGGTGACGTGGCTCCTCACGAGCCTGTTTTGCTCAATGAAGGAGACAGAAAATGGGTGGGAAAGCAGCTGGAAAGCCTTGGTTTCCAGTGGATACCAACAGTCCAATCGACCCAACCCTTTGGGTTTTAGACTCCCCATCCCTGGGGAGTTCAAGCTCAGGTTGGACAGAGCTTGGAGCAACCTGGGCTAGTGGAAGGTGTCTCTGCCCATGGCAGGGGTGGGACTGGATGAGCTTTAAGGTCCCTTCCAACCCAAACCAGTCTGGGATTCAGTGATTCTGTCCTGGCTGGGGGACAGGCAGATAGATCCCTCAGTCCCAACCTGCCCTGTGCCCACACAAGGATCCTCTGCTCTCCCACAGGCAGCTCCGTTATCTGCCCAAGCTCCTTCTACAGACATCACCTCCAACTTCCCAATCCATCTTCATCTGGATTTAATAATATTTTTTTAAGAAATCACAAAAAAAATCTATATTATAAATATATATATATGCTATAAAATCATAAAAACATTAAGAGTACTAATCTAGTTGGGGGCAACTAGAGAAGTGTTTCCCAAATTACAGAATTCTGAGGTGCCCTGGGAAGTCACTGCATCCTTCCTCTTGGGGGCCAACAAAATCCAAAGGGTCCAGCAAGTCCCCAGGATGAAGAAGCCTCTCAAGCCTTGTTCTGCCAGAAGTGATATGGTGGGACTGGCAACTCTGATCCAACTTCCCAGAGGGGAAAACATCCTCACCAACATTTTTAGCCTCTTCTTAGCACTCAGGGAATTTTCAGGCACTTTACACTATTTTTATTCTCCAACCCTCTACTCTTCAAGGTGGAGAACTCCAAACTATTTGAGCTGCTGACCACTCTCCTGCAATAGCCTGTAACCTGTAGTTACCCAAATCCAACTTATTTATAAACCATTGGCTCATGTGCTGTCATGCCCTGAATAATTCATTTTTAGGAGCAGTATAAGGAAATTCTGGCTCTGTCTCACATAGTCAAGTGTGTGGACATTTTGGCACATTTGTACCCTGGGGTTTTTTTCCAGAATGCAGTCTTAAGGTTGCTATATATGAAATAAAGACAGTAAAATAAATAATATAGAAGTAAATCTAATAAGATATAGATAATAAAGTAAACTGAACCAACTCAACTAAAATTATCTGCCAGCCCATCAGGACTGGCAGATCAAGCCATCTTTCATGGAAATGAGGATTCACTACAAACCACTGCAGAAGTGGAGTTCCCAGGGGTTTTATCCCCCCTGTGTAAATAACCCTTTCTCCACAAAAACATGGCTTCAGTTGGGCAGCAAAAAGATGCTTCGTTAGAGAAAAATGAAAGGGGGCAACAACGTTCACAGTGATGAAAACTTTGGCCTCTAAGTGGCAGAATGTCAAAAAAAGTTGTAGCATTTTATGATATACTGTAATTGAAAAAAAAAGTATGATGTTGTTAGTAGAAGTGTATTTAAGAAAAGCCCCACACGTGGGTATAATAGAAAATTAATCCTCAGAGCTCAGAAAGTCCCTGAGGATGCAGAATCCATCATGAAGTTACCTCCTGTCCCAGATTTTCCTGTTGCTTGCCTCTGCTGACAACAGTTGTCTTTTCATTGGAGTATTTGATATCAATTTACTCAGACACCAGGGGCAGAAAAGGATTTCACTTTCTTCATCTGAAAGACACTGAGCCACAGAATTAGTACTTTGAACAGATGCCAGAGAAAAACAGTGACACGTTCTCTAAACCAAGAACCACAGGTGGGCACAGCAAATTGCCCAAAGCCTCTCAGGGCTGCCCAGGCAGCCACAACCCTCCCGAATTTCTGATGATTCTGGGATGGACAACATTCCTGATTGTAAAGGTTCCTCCTTCCAGCTCTTGCCGTGGATCACGTTTCGAAACCAAGCCCATAAATGAATGTCCCTGTTGTCAATGCCTTCATCCAGATAATCATGGAATGATGGGCAAGTTGGAAGGGACCACTGGTGGGGTCATCTGGTCCAACCTCCCTGCTCAGGCAAGGTCTTTCTAGACCTTGCAGATGGCACAGGATTGTGTCCAGATGGTTCTGGAATGCCCATCCTTCTGCAGCAGAGAGGGCAGGGAGTGGCTGCTCTCGCTGCATTTGCAGGTTAAAATCCCTCAGAAAAGGTTTGCCTCCATTTTGGCACGTATTGAGCATTAAACTAACTGTAGATGGTACAACAAATAACCTCAGGAAGGGTGTCTACCTACCCTCATCTGACAGAGTCGCTGCCTTCTCCTCCTCACTGTTCCCAGTATTGTGAGAACCAGTGGTACAAAACACCAGGAAAAGAGATGGCTTATCTTAACAAAGTTATCAAGGAGCTTATTCCCAGCTGACTGGGCACCTGGTGAAACCTGTGCTTCACCCCAAAGATGGTGGGAAACTTTCCCCACTTCGTGTTTTCAAAGCCTTTGGCTCCTTTCTTTTTTCAAACCTTTCTTATATCGAGGATTTATCACAGAAACCCTCAGGAAAAAAAAAAAAAAATGAACTGCCCTGAAATGACTTGTTCTGCCCCAACATGGGATGAGATTTGGGTGCTCAGGTGAGAGCCCAGTGGCCTGGTGAGAGCTCTGGCAGGGGAGCAGCCCTGTCTGGGGTGTGGAGCTGAGCTCCTCACCGTGCTCTCTGCTCACCCAGCACTGGGCTCCAGCAAGGAGCTGACTCTGGACCTGCAGCAAGCAGAGCTTGTGCTTTGTTACAGCCAGCGGCAACCTAAACTGGATACCTAAAATTAGACAGCAGGAATTTTCTCCAAAGCATCGCTTGCATCCTGGTGGAAGAGTGGAAAATGGAGGTGGAAACCCGAGAGCAGCAGAAACAAACCCTGTGTTTGTCAGCAGGACACTTGTGCCACAGGCACAGGAGCCTCTGTACTCAGCACATCCCTGACCTGCAGTGATCCCTCACACACAGCAAAGGTCTGGCAGGGTTTGGACTCAACAAGGTTCCTAATAAGGTATAAAAACATGTTATTTTTTTTTCAGAAGGCTCAGGGATCAAACTGAGACAAGCAATTTATTCCAGCAGAAACCAAGACGTCACCTCAGAATACTCACAAAGGTTTCTCTCCAAAAGCAGAGAGTGAAAGGAAATGCAAAAGCATCAGCTATTGCTGTTCCTCCACCATGTTTCATCATATTCCTTTGAGGCTCAAATGAGGTTCCTCACCCTGAACTCCCCCTTTTAGGGCAAGTGTGCTGGTAATTCGGCAGAAGATGTAAAAATCAGCCCCAAAACTGCGAGTCAGTGAGCAGAGCTTCACCTCAGCTCAGCTACTCCACTGTCTTCAGCTCAGCTTCAGCAGAGACTCCACTTTCTGCCCACAGGGAAACTCTACATACTCATATTTTATCCCACAGTCATTTTCCAACATGGAAAACTCCCCAAACCATGGATTCACCCACATTCCCACGAGAACCTCCTGTCCCCACAGGCAGCCCTGACGTGGGATGAGCTCCATGGGCAGGACATGGAATGATGATCCCAGTTGTCCTCCCACCCCGTGGGCACAGGATGCTCCCTGGGATGATCCAAGGGCGCAGGGCTGAATCCACTCCCAGCCCCCATTGTTTTGACCACCAGCCCAGGCAGGAAAAACGTACAATTCAATGTGCTCAGACACCACACTCGGGAGATTTCATTTCAGTCTCAGTTTCTTCCACTGAACATTAGGTTTGGTAGTTTTCCCAGTCAACTCTTGCTTTTTTGGAAAAAAACCAAACCAAAACAAAACACTAAAGAAATTCAGCCACTTTTAAAAAGAAACCTTGAAAGAAAATTATGAGTTCTGTTTTGGAACCTGGTCCAAATGGCTGGAATAAAAATGCTCAAAACCAACTTAATATTTCCTGTACTTGAAAAATTTGGGTATTCAGCCTATATAATAGACTGAATATTTTTATTGGATGTTTTAAAAATAGAGATATGATTTGGCTATGATTCTTTAGTATTTATTTCAGCAAAATTCTGAGGTCATGTTGTTTGTGGGGAAAAAAAAAATCTAGGATGGTTTGGTTTGGAAAGGACATTAAAGCTCATCCAGTTTCAAGTTCCCTGCCATGGGCAGGGACACCTTCCACCAAACCAGGTGGAAAAATCATATTCTCTAAGTCCAATAGTTTTCCAGTTGTCAGGAAGTAACTCTGCCTTTGCCTCAGGTATTCAGTTTTCATTTTAAACGACCTCTCTCCCATTTTACTTTCCCTTTTCTTAATAGATATTCCTATTTTGCCAAAGACAGGCCAAAAATTATTTGGATATCTATTAGTAGGACAGAAGTTTTACAAGGTGGGGGAGTTACAGGTGAGAGAAGCGGCTGCTTATGCTGATGCTGAGCTCTGTTGAAAACGCCCTCCACAAACCCAACACTGGCATTGTTACAGCTCATAAAATCACAGTCAAACCCTGCAAACAGGAATATCCTGGAGTTACTCCTCTGGCAGTGCCTGCAGAGCCAGCCACTTGTTGCTGGGAGGTTCTGCACTCCAAGCAGTGGATCCCAACCTTCCCCACCGGAGAACTCGACTCAACCTCCACCCAACAACTTTGCTTTCCCTTTTTTGACTGATAACTCCCTGATGGGTTTTTTCTCAGCAGTTCTTGCAGGGTGGACAGGGCTTTCCCTCCTCCTCC